ATTATGCATGTACCAATCCCTCACAATGAATGCAATCATTTTGTACTGCAAAGAGGTAACAATAAATTTTTTTTAAAAAAATTTCTAAATGTTCTACCTTTGGGCAAATGAATCTTATGGCAACTCTGACCAAAGTATCTCATTGCTGTTGTGTCTGGCTCTATGCAATTTTTGTGATCTGCCTCCATCAAGAACACATCATTCTTATCATTCTTTTTTTTTTTTTTTTTTTTTTGAGGCAAGCCTCACTATGTAGTTTAGGCTGTCCTTGAACTCACTATGTAGCCCAGGCTGGCCTCAAACTCCAGGAAATCTTCCTGCCTCAGCCTCCCAAGTGCTGGGATTACAAGAGTGCACCACCACACCCAGATACATCATTCATTTTGGCCACTCTGCACAGTGCTGGCATGCCATGTACTTCACATGCCATGTGATTCCTCTTTCATTCAGCTTGTTACTTAGCCAGAACTCTGCAGAGGGCTCTGTCTCACCTTTCTGGATTTCTAGGCATACAGTACAATTTCACTTCCCATTCCAAAGGGAACCTTCCTAATGTTCTTCTTCTAATGCCTGGTTCTACTTATAAGGTGCATTTGTCCAGGTCTTTGTGGCATCTCTTAGCTGGTGTGTGTTACCTTAATATTTTAAGTTCACTATATGCTGTCAGCTTGAATCATATGAAGTTACCATTTCTGTAGGTCAAAAAGAGTTGAACATTGGCAATTTCATATGGATGAACCTAATGCATGGGCTGTGTATTGATATAGAAGCAGAGGAAGTCATAAGCTCTATTTCTGACTCTTCCTAAATATATCCTTCTGTGGCTTAATGGGTACCTCCCCCAGTGCTGTTCATACTGTCGTATATGATGCCATCCATAGCAATTGACTTTAATATTATCAGGACTTTTCTCCTTTCCCTTCCATTTTCAATTTAAAGTTCTCTTTATCTGTTCAGCAAAGGTCTGGGTAAACACATTTTTCTCAGTTGTTATAGAAAATTGTGTCCCTAGCCAACAGCCCAGAATTCCAGTATTTTAAACCATGATCCACATAAAACAGATCCTATTCTAAAATTCCATCTCTAGAGACCCCCATTTCATCGTCCATGTATTCTTTTCTATTCCAAAGTATCAGTTTTCTTTTGTAAGAAAATAAAACACCACCTGGTCCCCCCTAGTCCTTGAATTTTCTGCCCACACTTCATAGTCCTTGCAGATTTCTATGGCTCCTTTGGTGAAGGCCACTCATCCCTGCACGAGTGACACTTGTTAGAATAAGAGTTGGAGGAAGGCGGAAACGGCATCATTTGTTTGATTTCATGGCTTTCTCACAGCTCTCTGTTAAATGGCAATGACAATGCAGTAGTCATGTCTGCCTTCCACAACATCAATCAGAAAATAGCAATGATTATTCATTCACTCATTCCTGTGTTCATTTATTTTTTTGTCTGACTAGCCAATGAATGATTGTGGTTTAGACAAGATCCTGCCCTCCATGAGCTTACAGTCTACAGAGAAAGAGGCTATGCTCTCTCACATTCATTGTATTAGAACAATTGCAATAATAAAGGTAGACGGTACTATGATAGTGAGAAGAAAGTACTGAGATTTGAAAGGGAAAGGTCGTGAAGTGCTTTGTTAAGAAGCTGAGCTGGCTTTAAAGATATATACAATTTCTTTTTCTTTTTTTTTTGATATGTACAATTTCGACATAAGGAATGAGGGGGGAAGGGTCTTCTAAGCAAAAGAAGCAGCTTGGTGAAGGTATGTAGTCTTTGTGTAAGAGGCATATTTGGTAGCATAAACTGCTTAAAGAGGATTAGTGGGGAAGGGGTTTAAAACATAGGTTGAAGGATCTCCATTCTCTGACTGAGGAGTTTAGACTGTATTGCATAATCCATGGAAAGAATGCTTGTTTTTGAGTCCAGGTTTCACTCTATTGCCCAAGCTGGCCTTGAACTTCTGGACTCAGGCTATCCTCATACCTGAGCCTCCCTGCTAACTAGGACTACAGGCTTATGTCCCCATGCCCAGCTTAACCACTGTAGACTTTTGAGCTAGGAAGTGTCAGGGTCAAAAATGGACCTTGGGAATACTAATCTGGGAAAAAGTGGGTAAACTGTACTGAAGAAAGTAGAGGGTAGAGGTGTAGAGAAAGGAAAACTAACTTGGAGACAATTATAATTTCCCTATTTTGCCCTTTAACAAAGCCCCATACTTTTCATTAAACTAACTTAGCAGTTAGTAAGTTTGTGTAGTTATTTAGTGTCTTAGTACCTCCGCCTTCTATCAGGGCAGGGAACATATCAGTTTTTTTCACTACTGTGCTCCTGGGGCAAAACATTGAAGAATTACATTGGAACAATAGTGGTGAAAACAATAGAAGAGGAAGCTAGGACTATTATAATGACATGATCAGAGGTGCTGCAAAGTTTTCAGGTTTGAGTAGGTGAAGGTCTGGGGACTCGTATGAATGCTGAAGTCAGGAAATCACCAGTGAATTCAATGTGGAAAGAGAAGAGAACCAAGAACACAATTACCAACACTTAAGGGGGAAGAAAAAAGAAGGAATTGCAAGAGGCAGAGAAAAATGAGTAGATACTTCTCAGAAGAAGTATAAATGACCAATACACTAAAAAATGTTCAACATCTCTGGCCATTAGAGAAATGCAAGTTGAAACAACACTGAGATTCCATTTACTCCAGAAAGAATGGCTATCATCAAGAAATCAAAGAACAAGTGCTGGCAAGGTTGCAGGAGGGGAAAAGGAACGCTTCTACATTCTGGGTGGAAATGTAAACTGGTACAACTACTATGGAAATCAGTATGGAGATTCTATACTGATTTGACTCAGCTATTTCCTTCTAGATATCTTCCTGAAAGTTGAAGACATCACACCAAAGTGATGTATGCATAGTCATGTCTAGAGCATCAGAACTAAGGTAAATCTTGGAAGCAGCCTCTACATCCATAACAGATGAATAGATGAACAAAATGTGGTACTTATACAAAATGGAGTACTACTCTGCCATAAATAAGGACACATTTCAGTCATTTGTAAGAAAAAGGGTGCAGTTTGAGACCATAATGTTAAGTGAAGTAAAGAAGACACACAAGTTGAAATATTGCTTGGTTTCTCTGACATGAGAAACCCAAATGTAAATAAAGGGATTTTATCTAAATAAAAGATAGATAATAGGGAATAGGGAGATCTTTGAAAAAGGGAAGGGAACCAAGAGATGGAGGGAGGAGGGTGGAAAGCAAGGGAAGGGCATGAAAAAAAGAATTAAGATGTGTTATGTATATGTACGAACTCCCCATGAGGATGACCATTATGTCCTGCAAACATGTACTAATAGAACTATAAATTAAAAAAAAAAAAAGAAAAGCAGATGTAGGAGAACCAAGAAGCTAGTGCCAGTGAGGCCAAGGAAAAAGGTTCAAAAAGGAAATATAAGAATGGCTGATGAGAATGAGGCCTGTGACAGTAGAACTTGTGACTTACAAGTCACTTCTTTTTTTTTTCCAGTACCGGGAATCAAACTCACAACCTCACGCTTGCCAGGCAGGCGCTGTACCGCTGAGCTAAATCCCCAGCCCTGCAAGTTACTTTAGAGGGCATAATTTCAGTGAAGCGATGAGAGCGAAAGCCAGACCGAGGGAAATATGAGAGGAACGTGATAGCCCCAAGCCGGCTATTCTTTCCAGAACTAGCCACGGCAGCACGGTCAGGTCCCGCTGTGCCGGAAGCGCAAAGCCCCACACTGCCTGGTGTAGTGACCCCTGAGGCTCCCCCCCCCGCCGCCCCGCCTCCCCCATGCCGCTCTTTCAGCATCTCAGTAGCTGCCCCGGTGATAGGTGGGGACCTCAAGCTTCCTCACAGGGTACCTAGGGCTACTTTGGGCCCCTCCATTCCTGTATTTCCTCAGCACCATTTCTTGGTCCGATTGAAAAAAGTGATTCTATCTCAAAGTTTTCTGTTTCTTTAAACTGTCCTGGGAGCTGAAAGCTCTGTCCAACTGGGAAAAGGCAGTTTCTCCTGGTCCTAGTCTAGCATCGCCCAGGGATCCTTTGCTCCCTCACAGCGGGCACTGCGCCTGCCTGTGTGTAATGTTTGTGTATAAACCAAATGTGCTCATGTGCCATGCTCCTTGGCAGCTGCATTCAAGCCTTTTGTCATTTTCCTTGCTGTTTTTGTTTTTTAACTGTAAATTCACAGAAAAGCATGGACTGTCTTTTTGCAAGGGATTCAGCATAACTCATGCCCTTTAGAAATCTACTATTGTTATCATCCTCAACAAATGTGAGAGCTAGAAGAGGCCTTAAAGATCATCTGTCCAATTTCCTCATGTTTTCAAGTGAAGACAGTGAGGCCCAGAAAGGGGAAGCTGGACAGTTGTGTCACGCGCAAGGCCGTCATTAGTTGCTCTGAGGGGTGGAAAGATAGGGCAGATGTACCCCCGGCCTTGTACTTGTTTTTCTGTCTAGTTGAGGAAGAGTATTATCAACAAATAGCTACCAAGTGAGGGAGGCCAAAGTAGGCTCAGTGAGGCTAGGGAGCTGCAAGAGCAGGGAGGTGGAGCTCCTCTGGAGTGATCAACAGTGTCATCAGAATAGGTGACATTTGAGCTGGAGCTTGCACGGTTTCATTAAAGAAGAGATGGGCCGAGAAACACTCCGGAGAGCTTACTCTGACGTAAAGGGGTAGAGGCTGCGTTGGTTTGTTGAGAACTATCAGGAGGTAACTGGCAAAAGCAGGTTAGGGCCAGGATGTGAAATCAATCCTCCCCTCCCCACAGCCCACACATCCCTTCTGCTAATACTGCAGGTCTCAGCCCGAATGTCACCTCTTCAGAGAGGCCTTCCCTAGGTGGCTTTTCTAAGCAGGCCTCCCACTGTGGCCTCTGTCAGTGCATCCTGTGCATTTTCTTCATCACCTTTGCCCTAATGTGTCACTCTATTCATTCACTTCCTCGTTGCTCCCTCTCTTCATTATAGGCTCCTTGGAAACGGAACTGTTTGCTTTGTCCTTGTTCTTCCAGCACCAAGCACAGCGATCATTGGTAAGTGCTGCCCACGCAGGAGCTCCTGACTACAAGGGTAGGGGCCATGACGAGGACAATAGACTACATTGAACGTGTAAATAATCAGCATTTTGGACATGGATGCGATGGCCTAAGGAGACAGATGAGAGCTGGAGCATGAAAGGGTAGAACAATGATGAAACTTCCAGAGAGCAAGTGCTCAGAGCTGCAGGCTGAGGGAGCCTGTGGACAGGGGCATGGAGAGCAGGGACAAAGCATCTTCATATCCTTTGAACTTCATGCCTGGGAGGAAAGCCAGCCTTTGAGGGCTTTTAGTGCTGGCTGAGATTTGTGCTAAGCACTGGACAGTATGGGGCTTGGGGCAGGAGGACAGTTTGGCTCTGGGTGAGAAGCTAGCAAAGGAAAAAGAAAGAATAGAACCGAAGAACAGCATACAGTTGATGGTGAGAAAGCGGCAGCATAGGCTGGAGCAAGCCCCCAGTGAAAGGTGCAAAGAACCCGGGAAACAAACCAACTCACGCTCCCCACAGGTTAGACCTAGTCCTAGCACTTCCCTCAGGGCCTAGCCAGTCTTAGTGCAGCTCTTCCAGCCCAAGCACCTACCCTATGGTGGGTGCTGCACTAACTGCTGGGGATTTGCAGATGAGCAAGATTGCAGCGATGGCGAACCTTTTAGAGCTTTCGATGACAAAGGCTGTGGCACATGTGCCGTAGGTTCCCCACCACTGATCTAAAGTCTCTGCTCTGAAATAGGAGACTAAGCCAGCCATGGTAACACATGGCTATAATCCCAGTACTCTGGGAGGCTGAGGCAGGAGGATCCCAAATTCAGTCCTGACCCGGGCAACTTAGTGACTTGGCAAGATGGTCTCAAAATAAAAAAATAAAAAGGGATGGGGATGTAGCTCAATGTAAGTTCAGTCCCAAATACCAAAAAATAAAAAGAGGAAGCTAGAGAGGAAGACAGGTGTAGAGATGAGGGCGGGACAATGTTCTAAGTGTGACAAAGTGACAGACCAGGGTGTGCTTAAAAGCATCACAGCTGTGGCCAGATAACTTGTTTGGCTTAGAGTTCTGTCACTCAAGATGATCAAGATATACTGCAAATATTTAAATAAAATTTATTACAGTGAAAGGTACATGGTCATTAATCCCCCTCAAAAAACTCAACCTCACTGTGAACACTTATCCCATGGTTCTTGCACTTTTTGACACACTTCTGAGAGTCCTCTTTTGTGTCTTTGAGATGTGATCAAAACTGTGGTGAATGCTGCCAGGGAGTACCAGCCAACGGAAAGGCAGGCTCCCAATGTCCTCGTCCACCTTACTCACTGACTTTGGCTCTTCCCCAGAGTTAAAATGACCATGAAAGATAAACATTTTAATCAATTCAGGACATCAAGTCAGCCACAACAACAGAACCAAAGGCGCTCCTGAAAGAGGACTTTCGGAACTGCTTCAGAGGTGACATTCACAGAAGGATGGGATACGTTCAAAGTGAGAGGGAGTATTTTGAGGGGAATTAGCGGCAATATGTGTTTTCTTGTAATCAGTTTAATATTCACCATATTTTTCAGTCACACTTTGCACTAGCCATGGGACAACCCTGCACCTGTTTCCTTATCTGGAGAACAGGGATAATAAGGGTACCTAGCTCATCGGGCTGGTTTTGGCAATAGGTGAGGTAGCATACATAAAGCACTTGGTATAGTGCCTGGCACATGGCAAGCAGGAAATAAAAGTGAGCTGTCACAGTGATGTCAAAGGAAAACAAAGGAAGGGAAGGTGAATTCTATCTCTGGTGCAGGAGGAGAGGAGGTAGTTTGTAAAAGGCATTGAGTCTTCCACTGAAGCAAGATGAGGTGACGGTGAGGGCATTTATGGACTGAAAAGAAGCAGGGGCTAAGCCTCAAGGTTTGCAGTGCATTCATGGAATTCAGATGGCTTTCGCGGAGGGGCTCACAGCAGGAGATTGAGGCAGGGGGTAAAGACCAGAGCCTGCAAGAAGAAAGGGCCATGCCAAAGAGCCTGGAGTTTTTTCCTGTAGGGAGCAGGGCCTGGGGGCGAGGCACCACTGTCAGCTGTTCCTGAGGGTGGTTGGGAGGCCCGCTTGGGTGACGCCAAGGCCAGTCAGAGCATTCTCTTGCCATGTTCCTCACTGGGTTAGGACACGTTGGAACCCCCCTCCCAAGCAACCCATTTGCCAGTTCTTGGAAGTGGTAGCCGCTTGTGGTTGGCCTGCCGGGGAAGAGATGTGCAGTCAGCCCATTCAGTATAAAGTGGAAAAAGGTCCCAGTGTGCCTCACCCAGAACATAACAGTTTGGACCAGCTCTGCAGATAACGTCTTGTCAGGGCCTTATCGCTGAAGAAATTCTTCATCTAGCAAAGAACAGAGATGAACACTCTGCTCAGTGAGGAGGAACTGAGGTGTGCAGGAGCCAGTTCTACCATTACTTGTAAGTGAGGGGGCAAGAAAGAGGCTTTTGAGGAAACTGGAAATTGAGCTTCAGGAAGTTATTTGCAATGTCAAGGAAATCTTCTAGCTAGAGATGCCAAGGGAATGACTGAATGGACAATAAGATTAATGGAACTGAAACCATGAAATCCTCAACATGACAGAAGACAAAACTTGGGAATAGTGAGCTGGATGACTTGGCCACAGCCGCAGCTGAGCCCAACAGGCCCCCAGGCTTGCTTTGGACTTCAGCACTAACTCGTCAGCTGTCTTACAAAGCAACTGAACACCTGCTCATCTTATTGCCTGCTGCAGGCTCTCTGATACCTCGGCTTCAGTGGTTGCCATCAGGCCGATATTGTCCCTGCAGAAAAGGTTCTGGTGGCCTTTAGTTGTGATCTTCCTGCTCGAGCCCAGAGCCCCTTCTCAGTCCCATGTTGTGTTTGCTCAGCTTCTCAATCCTACTTTTGTCTGCATCCAACGTTAGCTTCATCTTTGAGCCCTTCAACATCCATGCTGGCTTCCCACAAAGATTTTGCATTCATTAGCTGATTTCTAGAAAAATACTTTCAACCTAAGATAAAATTGGTCATTTGCATTTGAATAAATTTTTATTTAGTCATGGGTATCATTGCATGAGGTTCTTCCTGTTCAAGACGAAGATTACAGATCAGTTGTGGTGTCAGCAGCAGAATTGAGAGGGGACCCATGTTAGCTCCTGATGAAGGCAGGGCCTTTTTTTGTTGTGGTTTTTTTTTTGTTTTTGGTACCAGGAAATCGAATTCAGGACCTTGCGCTTGCCAGGCAGGCACTTTTGCTGCTGAGCTATATCCTCGGCCCTGACAGTGACCTTCCTCTTTGTTTTTGTTTTTGTTTTTGGTTCCAGGAATTGAACTCGGGACCTTGTGCTTGCCAGGCAGGCACTTTGCCACTGACCTATCTCCCCAGCAAAGGCAGGGCCTTATCTAGCGGGCCTCCCTTTGGTGTCTCTGAGCTGCTCAGCCTCTCAGACTGGAGCAAGCTTTTCTTTACCTGTACTTTCCTCTAAGAAGGACATCATCTGTGAAGATGGTCTCCGCACTGTGTGACTATAAGCAAAATCTTTGTTCCCTTTGCACTTGGAGCTGAATCTCCTTAAAACTCTTAGAGAACCTTTGGAGCCTCCTTTTTGTAGGGCTGCCCACTAGCAAACAGAAAGAATGTGGGGAAGTAGGAGCCCATACACCAGTGATGGTGAACCTTTTAGAGCTTTCAATGATACAAACAGCCTGCTGAGGCATGAATGCCATAGGTTTGCCACCACTGCCATATACTGTAAGGTGCCACAAACAAGTGAGTGATTATCCTCCCTGGGGCTCAGCCCACACACTTTCAGGTTACTCATTCAGTTCATCATTGCTCTTGACCTTAATCACGGCAGCACTCCGCACAAGCTGCAGGGGATCAGTCATGTCAGAAACACCTTCAGAGCAATTCTGTTCCTCTGGAAGGCAGCAGGGGTGCAGCTGCCCTCTGGGACCTGGGCTCATCCTACCCTCATTCTGGGAAACAGGGGCAGCTGGCAGATAGCATTCACTGACCATTTTATCATTGCTTTTTCTGTCACGCACCTTAATTGCAGCAGGCCTTCTTCCCACCTTGTGTAGCTTTGAGAAAATGCCACATTTCACCATCAAGAACGTGGAGCCCCGTCCGGCCTGGTGCCTTTCTGGACCAGGGTGGAAGACCGAACACAGGGCTTTCACAAAAGACTTGTCACCGCCTGGGGGCCACACCCACCCATCCCAAGGATGGTCCTCCTCACTGAGAGGGCCTTTCGGCTCCAGGCAACTATGGAGTCCTCCCAATGTGCAGCCCCTCCCCACACTGTCCGGCTGCTTCAAGAAGTTCTCTGAGCCACAGTTCATTGCAACTATCGTTTATTAAAAAATATATGTCTCCTTGGAAGGAACACTGGTAAACCAACTAGTGTCATGCTTACTTTGAATCTTTGCTCTTCTTCCCCGGGAGGGAGCGAGGGAGAGAGGGAGGGCTGAGCATCGTTCCCACCAACGCATCACTTGGTTACCGCCAGAGAATCAACACTCCCTGCTCACCTCCCTCATCGGAGTCACGGGCAGCTATCACTTGATGCCACTTGCCTTCACTCCAGTGTACTGCCCAAGGGAAAGCTGCTGCCCCCTTTCGTTACCCTACCTGTGGGCCCCATACTTCACAGTTCAGCCTCATGATGCTGGTAGGGTAACTGGGAGCAGACTTCCTAAATTTGGCTGGTAGTGCTTAAAACATCTTCAACACTGTGTTGTCTGCACCAGTCCTAACCTAGTGGCTCAACTCTAGGGCCAAGCATTTCTATGTTCTCCCCTGCGTCATCCCTCTGGCATGGAGGTGAGGGAGGCACGTTGGCTTCAGAAGAGCACAGTGGGATGGGGTAGGGCCAGAACCACACCTGCTGCCTACACTGGTGGTAGGAGGAAAGCTCCCTGGACCACAGTCACTGCTATCAGACTCTGGGAAAAAGCAACAAGGTTGCACAGCTCACCAGTAAGCAAGTCTTAGCTCTACAGCTCAAATTTACAGCATTAAAATCTACTTTCTTCTTGAAGAAACAGTAAGCTACCAGCTGTTGGTGAGGTGGCTAGGGTAGGGCATATGGAGCAGCTGCAACAAAAAAAAAAATCAAAATCAAACTCCTTCTGCGGCTGGCCAAGCCTGGCACTGTCTTGCTGTCCCGGCAGAGTCAGAAGGCAAGTGCCTCCTCTGCTTGTCAGCAGCCCCACTAAGAGACCTCAGCCAAGTCCAGCTCGTCCTTGGCAGGTAAGTGAGGGGCCAGCATGGTAGTGCAGAGCCCCAGCTCCTACCCTCAGCCCTCACCAGCCCCTGCTTTCCCTCTGCTGACTGGATGGCCAAGTCCGGGTCGCCTACTGTCCCCGAAGGCTTGGCTCCTTCAGTACCTCATAAGCTTTTAGAACATTGGCAAATTGGATTCTATGCATTCACTTAAATAGTAAAAGTAAAATTTGGAACAATGAAAAGGCTGACACAGTAGCACAACATGGTTTTGGTTTAACAGCAGCTTAAAAATGAACAAAAGGAAACCTCTCATGCAGACACATCAGGTGGCATAAAACAATAGGCAATTTTATATGGAGCATAATTAGCCATTCTCTGTCTCTCAGCACACAAGACTGACTGTACCTCAAGGGCAGCAGCTGCTTTGGGGTCAAGGCTCCAACCCTCTTGCCCCAGGCAAAAGCCCTTTTTCTCTCAGGCCCCAGGCTGACCACTTCCAGCAACCTCAGCTCTCAAGAGAATGACAAATGCAAGTGCCCCTGGTACAGCACTTACAACCATTTTCAATCTCTCCCCAACCAGGTGGGATAGAAGATGCCATCTGATTGGAATATGAAAATTAAAGCATTTCTCTAATAACATAGTACCACTGATGAAGTCTCCATAGATTTTCTAGTCCCAATGTGTGTGAATATATATATATATATTATAGGAGAGCGTATAATATATATATAATAATTTCTATATATTTTATATAAATTACATATATATCTATATATAAATAAGATACTTTCTGTTGCCATTACGTTGCACCATTCTGAGCTGCAAGACAGCAGTACAGGTGGGTAGAAATGCCCAGGAGCACCTCATCACATGGTGCACTTAGCTCACTTCACAAGCCGTGCAGCTGTCCAGAGTCTGTCTTTCCATCAGTCCTCCTCGCTTCTCTTCGCTTCTGCTTGGTTTTTATGAAAACAATGGCTCTGATGGATTTGCACCTGTGCTAGCGCTTGGGAAAGGTCCATGCAGGAATGGGCACAGTAACATGATGAGTGAGATGGCATCATCCCCCAAAATAAACTAAAACAAAACAAAATTTAAAAAAAAACAAAAACAAAGAACAGGACTAGAAAACTCAATTTTCGACATATCTAAAAAAGGGGACAAGAACAGTAGTCATTTGTTCTCCCCATAGGGACAGGAATGAAGAGGGAGGAAGGAAGAGGGACTTGATTTCTTCTGCTCACAAGAGAATGGTTGGAGGGGATTCTTCAGAGTTTTTCAGGGGATGGGACCCAAATGTAGTGCCCAGACTGGTCCTCAATGATTTGTTTGATTTTGTTATAAATCTCTTCCAGTGAGTCACCCTGTACAATGGCTAAAGTGAAGAGGAAAACAAAATTATTACTGTGGTCCACAGCACATCCCCCAAACCCCGGCCATGCTGCCTCTCCCAACAACCCTACAATGCCCCCCAGCCAGGATGGGCGCTCACAAAAGTTCGGGTTTGGCTTTGGTTTCTCTAGTCGGCTTTCTGCGAGTTCAGGGTAGGAGGGGAGCTGGCTAGAAGCCCCTCTCTGAGACAGTGAGACCAAGTAGTAGCAAACGGGGAAAAGTGTTTATTTAAAAGATGTTTACTGAGCACCCACTACATGCCAGACACTGCAGCTCGTGTTGCTCTTGGCTGCCATAAGGCTGGCAGCTTGTGATTGATTCTAAACCAACTTCACTCAAAGATCGGTAAAATCCCAGTTATCAAGAGGAAGAGCAGCAAGCCACACTTTTTTGGCAAGAGGCAGTGCTCCTAGGGCTGTCACATTTGCTCTGTGGCAGAGGCTGGCCCAACAATCAAGGACACGGGTGCTGGTGTTAAAGGGACTCCAAAGACCCAAAGTATGCAAGGACATTTCTGAATTCTTAACCAGTTAGCCTGTCAGCACCACCAACGAGGATTTATTTAAACTGCCCAGCAACACACACATACATACGGCACTGTACTTTAAAAGATGAGGGATGATCACATAGGAAGCTTCCCAACATTTTAGAGGCTGACCTTCTAAAGTAAGTGAGCATATAAACACACACACACAGACACAGACACACACACACGCGCGCGTGCACACGCACACATGCACACTCACACACGCCGACAGACAACTGGAACACCACGCCAAGAAATCATCAACGAACGTTTATTCAGCACCTAAAACACGCAAGGCAGAGAATGGGAAGAGGAAGAGCTGAAGGCAAGGGAAACAAAGTAATAGAGGGCCCTGTAATCTAGGAGGGACAGAAGACAGAACAAACAAACCAACAGTCCACGCAGCATTTGGCAAGCAGTTCACACTATAAACCGGCTAAACAGCTATAGCCGGAGGGAAGGAACCTCAGTCCTCTGGAAAGGTTTGAGCTCACCAGCTCCAAAGCATCCAGAAATTCTGAGCAAGCTTTCTAAACTCTGTCTAAAGCTCTCTGAGACATTTTCAGGAGCAGTGTCTGGCTAGTCCCACAGAACCTGTGGCTAGGGAGCAGAGGTTCTTACCTGTAAAGTATTCTCCAAATTCCTGCTCCAGTTTCATGGCTTTGTCATAGATCTTATTTGCTTGTTCATACGTCTGCCGTCGGTTCATTTCCCTGCCAACAACACAGAAGAAAAATAGCTCCAAAGGAGATCCTATGTTTTAATTAACATAAACAGTTGTTCCAGGTTCCCTAAAAATCTGCTAAACTATCCTCTCACAGTGGCCTGTGATTAACTCCTTCCTCAATTCTTCTAGGTACTCAGAATGGAAGGGCGGCGTGTGGTTGGTGCTGGAGCATCAAGTTTCCTTCAAGCTTTCACTGTATCCCTCCTCTTAGATGTTGTGTCTAGATGTCGCCCAAAGCCTCCTGTAGTCATGGGAGCAGGTTTTTCAGAGGTGGCTGGATCTAGAGTGTACGGTGCTGGGATCAAGGGTGTGATTACTACGTCAGTCCACTGATTGGTTTGGCATAGTTCTGGCTAGGATTAGGGTGTGAGTGCTACACCCAGCCTAGGGCACGTAGTCCGCATACAATAAAAGGGACAGGAAAAGGGCTAATGTGCTCTCACCTGCGCACTTTGCCATAAACTTTTTCTCCTCTGTGATGCCCCTCTGCCCTGCCCCGCTGCCTTGGAGCCAGCCAATTATGGCCTGAAACCTCTACAAACTGAGTTAAAAAAACCTTTCTTCCTTTAACTTTGGGTGTCAGGTATTCTATCTCAGCAACAAGAAGAGCAACTAAGACATCTCCCCTGCCCAACACGTCACTGTATTCTCCATTTTTTTTTTCAGGGCCCCATCCTAGCTGGGCTTCTTCGAGTCTCAGCAAACACTTACATAAGTGCTTCAATGGACTTGGGCTTGATGAAAATGGCAATGGGGTAAAGTTGTGCTTGCTGCAGTCTCTTGATAGCATTGCCGGAAACATCTAAGATGCAATGTTTGCCCTGGAAAAGCAAATTTGTATCAGCTCACCACTCCCTATCCACCCAACCCCGAAGGCCATTCCAAACGTCCATGGGGGTAGGGGGCTGGGCAGGGCCACCCAGAGTGACCCAGAAGATCCTCTCCCTGAGGTGTTCAGGCCACGCTTTTTGCTTCTACTACCAGCAAAGTCCCTATCGGCCTGGGGGTGGGTCTCTATGCTTGGTGGGTGACGCTCCGGTATTAGTTTCATAAAGAAGAGCGACACCTTTACTGCGAGGCTGGTAACAGGCAGAGCTGCCATGGCTTTAGTCAACAGTACCACTTAGTAGCCCCTGTGGTGGAAGGATGAGGACATAAGTGGCACCTGGTCTGAGCGTTTCTGCCTTCCCTCTGAGGCACACAGGTAGCGGGCTGCCGCCTCTGCTTACCCGCTCTGCCACTGCCCGCACTGACTGGATGCTGGTCCCATAGAGGTTGTCATTGAACTGGCCTGCCTCAATGAACTTGTTGTCCTGGATATCCTTCTCCATCTGCTCTCGGGATACCACAAAGTGGTAGTCCTGCCCATCCACCTCATTGTCGCGCCGAGGCCGGGTGGTGTCTGAAGAAAGAAAGGAAACGTTGTAAGGCCCAAGGGCAGTGATCTGTGCTGGGCCACTAACCCTGATCCTCTCCCACCTGGGAGGGCCACAAAGCCATTCGAATAATTTTTCGGATGAGTGTAGGGTGGGGGTGGAGGTAGGGGTGGGGCTACGTAGCACTTGGGAAGAAGTCTGACTTATCTACTCTTCTTCCAACCTCCAGGGGATGAGGGACAGGGGTGTGGTATATGCGCTTTACTTTATTGATTTATTTATTTTGTCTTTTTGAGACAGGGTCTTGCTATGCAGTTCAGGCTGGCCTTGAGTTCAAGTTTGTAGCCCAGGCTGGTCTCAAACTTGTTGCAGTCCTCCTGCCTCAGCCTCCCAATAGCTGGGATTACAGGTGTGTACCACCAAGTCTGGTTTGTGCTTTAGCTTAAACCTGACCAGAAAGGTGAGGCATCTGGAGCCAAGGCTGGCAGAGGGTGCAAAACTTGGCATGGGATTCAGTAAAACTAACAGATGGTTCATCAAATCATGGCCTTCCTGACATTATCAGTTTTGGGGGGAATCTACTGCTGCCAACTGTTTTCAGGCTGTCAGATGTATCTTGTTCCCAGAGAGCCCTAGAACCTGATACCAGACCTTTTCCACAAAAAAACAATTCCCAGGCAGCAAGCCTCACTCCTTTGGGCCTGCCTGGGCTCTTACGTGGCACACAGGATCCAAATTTATGCGGGAACTCGGAGATCAAGTCATCGTTGACTCGGTCCTTCATTGGGCCCAAGATGATCACAGGCCTTGCGTAGTGAACTGAGGAGGGAGAATATGGAGACAGTGAACTGAGGCCTCGCTGGCAGCCTGTCCCACCTCCAAGTCTGTCTTAACAGGGAGGCTTTGGAGCCGCCACTCAAAACGGGGAGACACCCCCGGCCATTCTCTGCTTTTTGACTACATAGAGCCTTTAACTGGAGAATATCTAAGTCCCAAACAAGTCTGCCTGAAGCAACTCCCCTTCCAATGGATTCAGGGGAGATCTCTGCGTGGACCCCAGCAACTCAGCAAGGCTATTAACAGAGCAGCTGCTGGAAGGAGGGACGGGCCTCTTTTAGTCGCAGCAGCACCACGGAAGCAGACCCCCCCTTGCGCTCAGCAGCCAGGGCTGGATGAGCGGCAAGTCGCCTTCCTTCTCCCGGCCCCTCCACAGCCGCCCACTGGGGCAGCCTGCCACTGCCACGGGAGAGTGGCGCCAAGGTGAGACTCTGGAGGGGGGCTTACTTTCTTGCCGGGTCACTGGTTCATATGACAAAATAGCATCCTCTTGTCCTTCTACAACAAAAAAGGGAGACAGGTTAGCCCTTCATGATCTGCCTCCCTTTGTACAGCATTCACTCCTCCCCACCCATGCTGTAACATTGTCTTTTCAAGGGGTCTCTGTTGGTCCTGTCTGCTTTCCACTGGCAAGAAGCAGTGGCGGCCCCGTGGCCAGGATACCTTTCCTAAAACTACCTCAACTTTTTAGTAACTGTTCTTACAGGTAACAGTCAGGTATGCTCAGTGGTTCCCTTGCTCTAGAAAGAACCCCAGGGATACATCAGCTGGTTGACACACACTTGGCCGAATCCCTTTACCCATAGGCAGTAGTTAAAACACTCATGCAGGTCCACAAAGCCGCAGCCTAACTTTGCCCTTTTAAGGGTGCGTCTACCTACCCTCCCCCACGAAATATCAAAAGAAAGTGGTGCATGGCTGGGCCTAGATCTCCAGTGCCCTTTAAGAGCAGTGCTGAGCCTGCTCTCTCTTCATGGTGGAGCTCCACGTAGCCTGGCAATGATGAGGTTTCCTTGAAAGAGTCGCAGAGCCACTTGGCACCGGGAACTTGGAGGTCCCAAAGTAGCTGACAGCAAAACGAGGGGAGGCAGTGATATCTGCATTGAGACCCAGCGTGCTTGCTGAAAGGTTTTCTCTGAATCTAACTCTTGGCAGATTTTTCAGGGTCTCTAACCACCACAGCTCCTGAAAGGCCAACATCTCCCAAGAAGTCATAAGGTTTGAGTTGTAATTTCTCTGGTCTAGTCAAGGGGCCTGCCAAGGAAAACTGGGTAATTCCCTTCCCGGTCATAGACTCCCACCAAAGACAAAGAGGTCCTAGCAACCTGGAAAGGCAGATTCACGACAGTATCCCACAGGAGCTACGTTGCTTTTGGTCTCTGAACAAATCTGCAAAGCTGGGAGCTTCAGCCCACAGTGCACATGGCAGAGATTTGCTCGTTGGTGGCTCACCCTTCCCAGGGTGCAGGGATGATTTCAAGCCAGGTCCTAGCTAGAACTACAGGGCTTATACTCTCCTCTACTCCACAGAACAAACTCCATCCCACAGGGACAAAGAACTGGCCACAGCATTTCCAGGGTCTCAAAGTGCACATGGCTAAAAGGAGCAGCAGCCTTTGAGCAGGAATGACAGCCATGCAACACTGGAATGAGGATGGCTGAGACACATGGCGGAGCTACATGACATGGGGGGAATGACACACACTTACTGGAACTGCTTTCGCTGTCACTGGTGTTGGATGTCACTCCCTCTGCAAGCCAACAAGAAAGAGACTCCAATTCAGAACACACCACTGAGAGGTCACATGCAGCACAAAACGTAAATGCTCCAGGACTGAGACACTGAGCTGTCAACCGAGCCAGGCCAAGGGGGCCTGCCACATCCAGGCCACCAACTGGGAGGCACAGCTCCAATCCTGATGCCCTGGCTACCTCCTCCTACTTGTCCCCAGAGCCCTTTGCATCTGCCAAGTCCCTCCCTTAGCACTAGCAGCCTCACTTCCTCCAGCAGCACTCTTCATCTGAATCAAGTGAATTGACTTGGATGATTTCCAAATCCTATCTCAAAAGGCAGCTCCCAAGGCTAATGGCAGGAAAGAAAAGGAAGGGACAGTTGCAGAGAGAAGTCCAGGGACCATGCTGCACATGAATTTCCTCCCAAGACTGCACCCCAAAGTACAGAACTGCGTGGTGCTCCAGCACGAAGTGGCTAAGTGCTAGATGGGGTGAGCAGTCACCAGTGTCCTCTTGTGGCCCCACAGCCCTCTGCCACCGCTCCTGAGGAGGGCCGGGCTTCAGCAGTGATCAGGGATGCACCCCCTTCCACCACAAGACAGACATATGAAAACACAGGCCACAAACCGACAGAAATATCAAGGACAGGACAGTGCTCCCATCTCAGAGAGCTGGAATCTGCCTCTCTTTGAGCATGGGCATAGGAAGTTCGAGCACGCAGCCACTTTCACAGGGGGAACAAACACAGCCCACCCCTCCCGCAGGGACAGGCAGATGAAGATGAGACATGGACACACCAAACTATGGAGAGACGCTGCTCGTTTCAGCCCAAACCACACTGCTGCAGACCATGCCGTGCCAGGCCCCCACCCCCAGGAAGGACCTGCTGAATTCCCACCTGTGGCTAGTTCCCGAACAATCCCTGATGACACTCTTTTACCTCTGGCATTTAAAATTCACTGAAGGAAAGTACATGTTGACAGAAGCCACCTGACAGGGTCACATATCTGCCTGTACCCCTGCCTGCAGCAGGGTCAGCTACTAAGCCCTCATCATCCAGGTCCTTTCAGTTTCCACTCCGGAATTATTTTCCAGAATGGAGAGGTCAAAGTTTTTTGAGATTAAGGGCTAGCGGTATATGATCTATAAATGGCAGTGGGTCTGCAGGACTAGGCCAGGTGCTAGGTGGGTACAGAGGCTCACCACACCGCTGCCCCTAGTTAGGGGGACTGTAAGAGCTGCAATTCTCCAGCCCAGCTGTTTAGAGTGTTGTCCCTGAGAGAAAAATCCAACTAGCAGGCGCCCTGCCCTTGCTCAGAGGCAGGACATTAGCTGAGTGCTCGCCCTAGAGCTGCACTCGGCCCACCCGTCTTCTGAGGTGGGGCCCCAGGCTTGGGTCTCACCACTGGAGAGTGTAGAAGGTAAACAGACACGAGCCCTAGGGATCTGTTAGGGTACCAGGGACCAAGGGCAAAAGTGTGACATTTGGAGTCACATGTACCTCCCCCTGCCGTGGGAATAGAGTTCTCACAAACACTGTCCTCCCATCACCCTTCACCCTCACCCATGTCCCCTACACCCCCACCCTCGCTGTCTCCATTCACGCCACAAATATAGTTAATGGTGTGTAAGTTCCACTTACTCAGGTTCTTTGCTCCATAATAATCGTCACTTAACCCAGGGAAGTCCTGATTTCACAGACAGCAAGGACAGAGGGGGAAAGGGAAGGTGGGAAGAGAATTAGGGAGCAGAGAAAAAACAGAGAAAAGACAAGGGAAGGAAGAATACAGAAGCAGGTAAGCATTAGTGACAGAAGTATGAAACGCCACGAAGACCTAAGAACTACAGCGAAGTGAAGAACTTTGCTACAGAAAGAACATTCTAGGTGAGGTAAGATACCTGGACTTGCCGCTACTCAGTTTGCTGCCAGAGAGCCTTAGAGCGGACTAGCTTTCTGAGGTAATCTATAGCCATAGGCCCACAGGAAACAGCAGGTGACACTCCAAGGCTTAGAGTACCTGCTTTGACCAAATGTGTAGCTGTAGAGTACAGGTCTCTGCTTTGCCCTTGAAATCACATTTCATTCTATGGGTATATGAAAGACACACGTCCCTGTGTGCTATGTTGGCAGAGACAATTACCGTCACCTCGAGGAGCTTTTGCCCGGTACTGCCTTACTCTGGCCTAATCCCTCAGGAAAAGCTTCCTGCTGTCTAGGGTGTGGCTTCCAAAGCTGCCCTGATGACCCGGGCTTCTGGAGAACAGGCAGTAGAGAGTTTCAACTGTGTCATCCAATGAGCACCCACCAGCCCTGCTGGACCACTGAGCGGAGACATTTCCCCAGGTTAAGTTCAATATAGAACTTCTGGGGCTCACCTGGTAAACTGTGGTGACATCACCTCAGGCCTCTGTGTCAGATGGCCTTATACTTCCTCTGTCACGTGGCATTGAAGGACCCCAGGATGATGAGCCCTGGTCTTCATACAGACAAGGGCACCTTGTACCTACCAGGTACACTGCAGACAGCAACAACTCACACATACCGTGAGCGTCACTCAGGCAGGCCTACATAAAGGTCATTTCCTATCAGAACTAGACAGTCTCTTGCCAGTTCCATCAGCCGGGCTGCAAGATCCCTCCATGTAAGACAGAGGAGTCACTGGGACATGAAAGATGTTTACCATTCACAATGACACAAATGAGAAACTGTCAAGCCTGACCTGATATTTAGGGTAGGGTCAGAACAGCTAATTTTTGAAGAACATGGTAGAGTCAGAAGACTTATCAGGATTAAGTTCATTCTTAAAGTTAATGGACTTCAGCGTTAGAGTTCTTTTCCTACCAAATCAGCTTTGTGCTTTTCAATAAATCTTTATTAGAACTGTGCTGAGCAGTCCCGCTTCTGCATGAACTCATTTATTCGGGAAGGGCTTTCTGGTAGAAACTGGCTCTGCAGGCACTTTGGGGTGACCGCGAGCCCGTTTCCAGTCATAAGACGCCCCGCGTGCTTAGGCACAGCGGGGGGGGGGGGGGGGTTCCAGAAGCAGCCCCCTCTTCAGGAATCTGGGAAAGGACAGGCTCTTCTCTTGACATAGATGAATGAAGTTAAGGGAAAGAAAACACAAGAAGGAGCCAGGGGAGCAACACCCAGTCCCTTGACCTTATTCTCTTGAAAAAACGTTTTCCTAACCCTGAAACTGGCTAAAAGCCGCTCCTCACCACCACAGCAGAGCTCCATCTGGCACTTCCAAGGCCAGTGCCAGGGACTTCCTGGAGGCTGGCCCTGGGCTCAGTCCTACCTCAGAGCCTCCAACGTTCATTCCAAGTGAGGAGCTGGACAAATAAGCCCCAACATCTCCCCGCGCAGGCCAATTTCTGCCCTGACTGCGAATAAGCAGGTGTGCGCAGGCAGGCGCTCACGCCCTCGCCCAGACTCCTCCAGAGGGAAGGGACGACGGAGGACGAGAGGGCGGGGCTTGAGGCAGTCTGCTCTCTGGACTCTGCTGCTACTTACGTTCCTGTATGCTGCACTCCTGGGCCATGTTTTCTTTGCTCTTGTAAAATGGGAACTTTCGAGAGAGGCGAAAACTCTTTTTACGTTTCGTTTTGATCGACTGTGAAAGAACATGAAGATGGAGGGGAAGGACAGAAGAAAAAAAAAAAAACAGAACAATGGATTTTAAAGCATGCAAGAAAAACTAAAATGGAGACAATGGTGAGCTAAATAAAAGATTATCTCTCACAAATGGAGTCTATGAGATTAAATGAAAGTTGATGTAAGAGGAAAATTATGTTTACAGGAAAATGTTGTAGGGATGTTAGAGGTTTCTACCTAGTCCAGCCTCACAGCATTCACTGGCACTTCCTAAAGAACAAAGGTCCTAGAGCTGCACTCGGCCTCCTGGACACATGCCCTAAGGTGCCACTGACAGACACAGAGTCATCTGCTCCGTGCCTCTCTTCCCTCTACAGCTCCGGAAGTTCTTTGGCCTGCGAAGCTCATAGAAGAAAAGGGGTAAATGGAGAGCCCGCCTGCCTCATGTGTTCTGAAGGGAGGTGGGGGCTCCGGGGCAGGCATTCTGGCAAGATGATACCAGGTTCTGCTCAAGGTCCCACAGTCTCGCCAGGGTGTGTGGCCAGGGAGATACCCACGAGTGGTTGCACCTTTCCCAGGCAAGTCAGCCAACTCCAACACATGTTCCATAGCCAGTAACCCAGGGGAAGGGGCCCAGACTAGCCGCAGACTGTAAGCGCTCCCTCTCTTTGCTTTCTGAAAAATAGTCAATTTCCTGACAGGACAGAGCCAGCCCCCTGAAAAAAAAAAGACATTCTTCTGTGCTCCCCAGTTCTCTCATCCATCAGACCAAACTCCAAGCCTCTCACCCCTCTTCACATCCTGGCTGATTTCCTTAGGGGTCAGTCCCCACTTACCCTGTTAGACTCAATCATCCCCGTCCTGGCATGGAACTTCACGGTTTTCAATCGAGCTCGCTCTTTCTTTTCCACCCTGTTTGGGAGTCAGAAAGAAGTCCTGTTCCTGCCAGTACATGGTCTTAGCAGCGGCAGCAGGCACAGCAGTCACTCTTTGGCTCACTGAATGAAAACCTGAGTACCAACTCTCTACCAAAAAGGCATAATCAGGAACAGATGCTATTCTCCAGCAACTTATAGCACAATAGGAAAACAAGACAGACATCAGCAAGAGGCCTGGGAGGGTCTCGCTCATGATCATGACAACTCACCTCTTCTTACTGGGGATCACACCAATCTGCTCACTCTCTCCATGAGGGGTCACCAGCCTTGCCTGCCACCACTCATCATCAGAGGCATTAATGACATGCAGAATGTCACCATAAGAGAAGCTGAGCCCCTGGCTTGGTAGGCAGCTGTCCCGAGTCCGGTCATAATCAAACAGGGCCCTGAAACATACAGTAAACGATGAAGTCATCACCTCAACCCTCCAGTCCTGGAGACAGGTACCATGAAAGCCGCCAGAGGAAGGCCAATCCCCATAGCACAGACGTGGCAGCTGCACATCAGACAGGAAGGCCTTCTCTGGGAGACTGCATCCTTCTTTTAGTCCTCCAAATGGAAAATACACCTCATTTTCAAGAATCATCCCGTTTCCCCAACAAAGGGAATGAGGAAAATCTTTTATGAATCCCAGCTTCTTGAAACAAAGAGGAAGCCTAAAGTAGAATCCACTGACTAGCCCTCCTACATCCTAGGAAACCAGCTCTACCAATGGGGTCTGTCAGTTTACAGGCATATTTTTGAAAAGTAGTTGAAGACAAAATCCAAAAAAAGGTTAAGTACAATCCCAAACAATGAAAGTAAGAGTTACTGCTCTTATATTTCAGCCTTATGCTGCGGAAATATTTTTTTAAAAGGTCCCTGTATCCCAAGGCAGCCAAGGAAAAGGCTAACACTAACATACAACCAAGTGATCTGGTTGCCAGGAACCCCATAGTCTACTGGGTCACTCTTTTTCTTTTACACATGGATGAACAGAGGTTTTGGGGAAAAGAATAATTTGACCTAGACCACATATCTAACTACCTGGGACAGAACCCAAGTCCTCTGACCAGACATGCTATTAGTCTTGATCTAGAATGTCCTCCAAAAGTTCAGTGGTGGGGGATTGGAAGGGGACTGGATCATAGAGGTGCTATACTCCTCAGTGGAGTAATCCATGGATGAGTTCATACCTACATGTGCTACTGGGAGGTGGAGGCTGGTTGGAGGGGTGTGTCACTGGGCGTGCGTATTTGGTGGGGTATATTTCCTTCCCCAGCACCTCCTTTCTCACTCCTGACTGCCATGAGGTAAACAGCTTTCTTCCATGTCCTTCCACCAGGGTGTTTCTCCCTTGGAGCCAGCCACCCATTGGCTGAAACCCCAAAACTGTGAGCCGAATTAAACTTCCTTTAGGTGGTAGATGTCAGGTGTTTTGTCCCAGCATCAGGAAAGCTGACTAATACACATACCTTGCACATTTTGTGACATGCAATAAATAGAAAAGATTAAATAAATAAAGGGGAAGGTGGGAGAAGGTGGGTAGGAATCTGCACTATGCAGGCTCATGGAAAAAGAGGAGACCAGCTTGGCTGCAGCTGGAAGTCTGGACATGAGGTTGGAGCAAATTTCAAAAGGCCTTGATAGACTTAATCTACTGACCTCTTAAAATCTGCGAATAGGGAAGCAGCACACCAGAAGAGCTTTGGGAACATTGATCTGATCTCATATGTGATGGGACAATGGGAGAAGAGATTGGGAAGCAAATGGAAAGCAAGTTCCAAGTTCAATCCTGACCCCCGCCCCAGGGAGATTGGGTTGGTACTTGATGCCAGCTTATTTCCAAGAAGTAACTCACCTGGGATAGTCTCTGTTTTTCTTATCCAGGGAACTACTTCTCATATGGAATCATGACAAATGGGGGGCTTCAGTGAGAAGCTGTGTTTTTTTCTTCCTGTAATCTAGGCTGTACCCATCTACATCGTATCTTCTGACAGAAGTGTTTTTATACCTTTGCACACACAGCCCAGGAGACTGTTCAGAACTGAGCTCCTACACTTGCACTTCTATTTGCAATCTGGTGGTCTGTACCTCAGCTGAAAGTTCTAAGTTCAGTATACTATGTCTCCATGTGCAAGCCCAAATAAAAGAAAATATAGTAAAATCTTAGAGTAGTATACCCATCTACTTTTTAAAGTTGTTGAAACAGAATCCTTAAAACTCAGTGTCAGAGCTGGGTAGGGTGGGGCACACCTATAATCCTAGCACTCAGGAGACTGAGTCAGAAGAATTGCAAGTTTGAGGTCAGCCTGGACTACCCTAAAAGACTCTGTCACAAACAAACAAATGTCAAATGATTTGAAAATGAAAACATCCAAACTTTTAACAAAATTCCCTTTATTTCCCTCAGTGTACCCACTTCAAGAAGTAAGAACAGAGGCAGAGGTCAATAGATAAGGAGGTGAGGTCCTTTGCAGGCTCCGTGCAAGATTCAAATTGGAATGAATTCCCAGTACCCAAATTCTACGTGCACTAAAGCAAGGCAAGCATTCGTCAGCCATTTCTATGAAGATCAATAAGCAAGGCAGCCTTATTGTAAGTGACGAGGAGAAACGCTGCCATTATGGGCTTCAAAATTTGAGAACAGAACTTGGCTTAAGTTTGAGAAGATTGATAGATTAGCTTGAGAAAGATGGAAGATGTCCAAGTGGATTAGGAAAGTATGTAGAAGATTAGGATGCAGAGTTTACTGGTTACAAGATTAAAACACAATATATATTTTTGCATCTCCCAGAACCACGCCTGACCTTTGGCAACCAAAGTAACTAGCTGAAGAACGTATGATAAAGTTAGTGTAAACATGTTTTCTGGGTGCCAGGATTCCAACTACTTGTAATTTTTAAGAATCTGAGGTTTTAACAAAATTAATAAAACAGTTTATTTCCAAGATTAATATCGGGTACCTTATAACATTAAAACACATATTGCATGAGTTAAGTAAAAACAAAATAAAGAGATCAAATTTTTCAACAAGAATGCCAGTTGATACCAGTGCCTGTTGGGAATTGCACTGTTTGGTTTGTTTTTTTAACCATAGTATATGTTCCTTTTACAATTTTCAAAAAAATGTAAGTCAATTAAAAAGAAAGTGAGGAAACAAATATGCGAGGCACTGGCTTGAGTTGTTTACCTCAGAGGTCTGCGCTCGGCTGTAAGGTCCTCTAAGATCCCTGACAAATGAGGCCAAAAAAAGGAAGTTGTATAGGGCTGGGGATTTAGCTCAGCGGCAAAAG